GGCTTCCGCCCGCCCGGGGCCCACGGCCGGGAGAGCCGCACTGTGCCCGGCGGGCCGAGGTCCAGCGCAGCACGCTGCAATTCGACATAAGACAAGAGCTTTCTCCGGGACTGGGGGAGGTTGGCTCTGCCCCCCGAGCAGGGGCTGCCCCAGGGGACGCCCTCAGCCTCGCTGCTGCTCCCAGCGCACGGGGAGACGCATCTGCTGGTGTCCCCCCTCCTGTCCCTCTGCCTGGTGTGCTCGCGGTGGCAGAGCCCACGGCAGAACGCGTTCCCGGGAGGATCTCTGTGTCCTCCCGGCCCAGGCGGAGGGGATGTGCTCCTGAAGGGATGCTCTGGGAGGTCTGTGACCTGCTGGACACCTGGGTTCAGTGTGCACTGCAGACTGGGGTGCCCTGTGGCCGTGACCCCTGAGCAGGAGGCATGTCACACACCCCAGGCACCGGCTCCAGACTCGGCCACAGCTGGGGGGCACATACCCCCAAGTGACGGCAGCCCTACCTGCCGGGAGCAGCCCCAGGTACTGGTGGCTCCAGTATGGAACAGCCACTGGTGCCTGAGGAGCGAGGGGACAGAGCCCACTTTCCCGGGGACCGTCACTGAGCAGGTGAGGGGGTGTGCTAGCAAGCACAGGCCTCCTGCTCCAGATCCCTGCCTGGAGCTTGTCCCTCTAACAGGGATGATGGCAATCATCACCAGGGCGGGGGGAAAGGGGCAGGTCCCACCGGGACCCAACCCGCTCCACGGCTCCGGAGCAGGCGCCTGGGCACCCGTGGGCTCTGCACTGCTGCTCCCACGGGTGGCATCAAGGGGCCTTATGGCACCCTGATCCTGTTTGTCCTGATTCCTGAGGAGGGAGGTGCAGAGGCCTAATAGGCTGCTTTCGGGATCAGCCAGGTGATTTTCCAGCCTGGCGTGTCTTCTGAGTGCTCCCTTTGGCTGAGGGCTGAGGATGAATCCCTGGTGCACGTGCCACATGCGAGGCAGGACGCGCGTCATGACCATCACCGCGTTAATGGCCAGCATCCCGCTCCACCTGCCAGTGTGCTGCTGGCACCCATGGCCGTGCACCCCGTCCAGCTGGCTGTACCCCGCGGCAACAGGCAAATCCAGGTGGGTGCAGGAGGGGGAGACTGGGACACACCGGGGCTCAGGTGTAGAGGGATGAGTGCTTGAGAGTGGGAGGGGAACCGTACCGTGCAATGCTGTGGAGTATCGGCAGCAATGTTTATGGAGCATGTGATATGCTATAGGGCTTCACGGATGGTGAGGAAACCTCTGGAGAAGGGTGGGATTGGAACATGTGGGGGCCATGGGGCTCTCCCAATGCTCATGGTCTGCTTCTCTTCCATGGCAGGGCTCGGTGGGGCAGGCCAGGTGCCAGTGCAACCACTCTCCCGGTGGTATGGGGGCGCGGTGCCGGCGCAGCATGGCATTTGACTGCACGCCCCAGCCAGCAGCCTGGTGCCCTGACTGGATGGCAGGGCTCCCCGATGCCCTGCCCCTCTCCCACCTCTCCATCCCTGGCACCCACGACTCCCTCAGCCTGTTCGGTGGCCGACGCCTGCGGTGCCAGAGCTGGGGCCTGGAGTCCCAGCTGGCAGCTGGCGTCCGCTTCCTGGATGTGCGTTGCAAGCTGGTACGGGGCGAACTACACATCTACCATCTATGTACCTTCCAGCGGGCCAGCCTGCGGGGGGTCCTGCGCCGCACCCTGCGCTTCCTCCGTGCCCACCCCGGTGAGGCTGTGCTCATGCGCATCAAAGAGGAGCTGCCCATCTTCCCCCAGCCCGGCTTTGCCGCCCGGCTTCACCGCTGCTTGCTGGAGGAGGGAGGGGGCCGTGTGTGGTGCCGGGAGGAGGTGCCAACGCTGGGCCAGGCACGGGGGAAGATTGTGGTGCTGGAGGCACTGGCACGGGAGGTGCTGGGCATCCCCTACGAGCAGCTGAGCATCAGTGATGCCTGGAACGTGCTCTCACTCGAGCGCAAGTGGGCCCGGGCACGGCGGCACCTGGAGAAGGCAGCTGGCGGGGACCCCACCACCATCCACCTCACCTTCTGCTCTGGCAACGGGCTCTTCACCTGCCCAGAGGAGGTGGCCCGCTTCGTGAACCCCCGCTGCTACCAGCACCTACGGCGCAGGGGGGGGCAGCCCATGCACTGGGGAGTGGTCATCATGGACTTCCCTGGGGCAGGGCTCCTCCGGCTCATCGTGGAGAGCAACACGCCCCAGGCCAGCGGACGCATCACGGTGGCCCCTGGTACCCCCACGGCATCCCCACGGCACCCCCATGGCAGACGGGGTGGGCGCTGCTGCCGGCACAGCTCTGCTCACTGCCCGCACCGGCGTCTGTCAGGACGGACACTACTCCCAGCCCCACGCCTCTGTCGAAGGACATCAGTGCACGTAGAGCAAAAGCGGGTTTCTAGCTCCCACTGGGCGCCAAGAAGCCTTCGCATGACAATGGTGTGACAGTGCCAGATGTGGCAGGGTTGGCAGCTGTGGTTGGAGCCAGGCAGCCTGGGAACCTGCCCCCTGCATGCTGCTCTCCCCTGAGGAGCCAGGTATGGTCCTGGTGCAGCACTGGGCCAGCTGGGTCCCCGGCAGAGCTGCAGGGACGGGTGGAGCAACAAGGTCCTGACTTTCCTCCTCTCAGGCCGATGAGTCCACCCAAAATGTCTCTCTGCAAAACAGTCCCTTTCAAGGGTAAATAAAAATAAAAAGAAGCTAGGAAAGCACTCCCTGTCTTGCCATTTCATAGCAGAAAAGACCTTTTGGTTTTGCTTCTCAGCTGTAAAAGAGTCTGTACCCCTCTGTCTATGGCTGAAGCACAGTTAAATTGGTATTTGTAACCATCTTTCTCTTAAAGCAGAGCTGCAAGAGGTCAGAGGAGGAGGAATTCATTTCAAAGGTGACAACAGACAGTTAGGAACATCTTTCCCCTTGTTATTTTAGCTTTGTTTTTTTCTTGCAGGGGCTTTCCCCAAAAGTCAGGACTCTTAGAGAGAGGCAGCTTCAGCAGGCATCGTCAATCCCATGCACAGAGAACTGGATGGCCACAGCAGCGGTGATTCAGACAGGACTACTCTGTCCCAAGGTTGCACACCTGGGGATGCTGCACAGGGCAAAGCCCAGTGGTTTGCAACAGCGTGGGCAGCATGGATAAGGCAGTTTGTAGATCCACAAAAGTAGAATAAAAAAATATCCTAAAACACATGTTTTGCCAGTGTCTGCCCTACCTGCAGAAAATAAATTAGCAATTTAAATAGACTGGCAAGTCACAGGACACTAGCTCCTTGGAGCAGAAAGAGGTCCCAGAGGAGAAAGCACCAAACTGTCAGCTGCACTGAAGCACGAAGGTGAGAAAAAGAAGAGAAAAGCTCAGCCCTGGCCTGCCAAAATGTGAAGAATGGCCTCAAGAACAGTCTCATGGGAAACACAGCTGGGCTCAGTGCCTGCTGGAGGGGATGCCACAGGATTTCCTGGCCGGAGGAGAGGACATTGTTTGCTCCACAAGAGCTGGCCCTGACTGGAAACATGGCTCTCAGTGGTGAGTATGTTCATCCGCTGGCCCTGGGTGGGCTGCGGCGGCTCTGCCTGGGGAGCAGGTGAGGACAGAGCCCGTGCTGCAAAGAGCCAGATGGGAGGGGAGCAGGTGACAGTGCGCAGGGGGTGATGGAGGTGACAGAGGAATCTGTCTCTGGGCTTTGTGAGATGGGAGAAGAATGAAATCTCTCCATTAAACTAGATACATGACAAACGCACTGGTGATATCTGGGGTTCCAGTGTCCTGCTTCGTTGGCTGCCAACGCCTCAGCATGACAGCTCAAGGTATCACTCTCACGTGATGGCTCGAGGTATCATTCTCATGCTGGAAAAATGGGTGCCATTGAGGGAGGGCCAGGCAGGTCGGCGGCCTGTCCTGGCCCTCCAGGGACACACAGTGCCGTGGGGAGTGGGGCAGGGCACAGGCAGAACCGTTGCAGTTCCCCGAAGCGGCTCTGCAGGCTGGGTGGTTCTGCTCTCGCTTAGGGCAAGGGCTGCCTGCACGGCTGTGGAGCTGTACCCATGCCGTGCCCCAGCTTGCTGGCAGGGCAGAAGCACTGCTTGGGATTCCCCGCTGGGCAGAACCACTTGTTTACTCCCTACCACACAAGTGTTGAGATAACTTCGATGTTATCTACTCCCCCAGCATCCTGTTTGGCGGGCCTTTATCTGTGCCATGCATGTGTTGCTGCTGATGGGCACCAGGGAGTCAGCAGACAGCGTGGGCAGGGGTACCTGGGTGGCAGTGCTGCCCAGTGGAAAGGGTCTTCATCACCAGTGTGGCACGAGGCAGAAAGCTATCCTATGCTGAGATCAAAGAAACATCTCTGAGAGGGACTGAGTGGGGTGGACAGGAGTGATTTGCCCAAAACTACCCCTGCATCCTGCAGCTGGGGGTGCCCCAGCACTGTGAGGTCCCTGTAGGTGGGGGGTGCGGGGTGCTGTGGCCCGTGCAGGCTGTCTTGGAAGTATCCCTGTCCTTGTGGTCCTGGCTAATCCTTGCAACCATTGCACCCCTTCCAAGCCAGGGTAGCATTCCCATAATGTGTTCCTGTGGCTAAACACTCAAATTCTGAGAAAGATTTTATCAGGCACTGCTTTGCTCCAGGGCTGTCAGGGGAGGGTCCAGCTGCTTGGGCTGCAGGCCAGCTGTCACACTAAGAGATGTGCCCAAAGGCACTCTGCAGCTCAGGGACACCCTTTGGGTCAAACAGCCCCTGGGCACCTGTGGTGGGTGAGACCTGTCCCCTGCCTGTGCTCAGGAGGTGCCTCCAAAGACTCCACTCAGCAGGGCATTGGAGGACCTGGGGAGAGCCACCCTGTTCCCCCGGGTGGAGTGGGGGGACGGCGGGAGCGGGGAGGCACCCCAGCAGGGTGTGGGTCCTTGCTGGCACCACGTCATGCTCCTGCAGGGGTGCTGCTGGGTGCCTCCTTGCTCCAGAGGGCTGCTGAGCCCTCCCTGGTGACAGGGACGAGGGGACCAGGGGGCTCCCCAGGAAGGCGCTCACTGTATCGCTGGCAGCAGCTGACCCGGGCGGGCGGTGTCAGGGTGACTTGGTTCCTCTGCGGTTTGCAGGGGGATATTGCACAAGGAGGGGAACAGGCTGTGCCGTGTGGGGTGGGACCCTCTGCTGAAAACAACACGAGTGTGGCTCTGCATGGAGGGTTTGTGGTGTGCTAGTGATGGGGGTGCCTCTTGCACCCCCTGCCCCAGGGTCTCACTCCACGAGGTCCTGGGCACTCCCTGAGGACACAGTGCATGGCACAGGCTGGTCTTGGCCCTGTGGCTCCACAGAGGCTAAGCCCCAGGGCGTCTGCCCACCTCTGCCAGCACCCACCTCTCCTTGCAGCATGTACAGCCCTTGTTACCGTGGGTCCCACGCACACCTGGGTGCTCCCAGTGCCGTTGGGATACCCGTGCAGGCATTTACACCCTGCCCTGTGCATGACACACTGCCCGCGGCATGGCCGAGCATTCCAAGAACATCAGCCTGGGCGGGCAGCAATAGCTGCAGTGGCCAAACCGCTTCCCTCCAGTGAGCCCTGCAGTCGCAGCCTGTGGCTGGGTTGGCCAGCCCCACCGGCTGCACGGCACCCTCAGCAGTGGTTTGGAAATGGCATGCATGAGGCACCCATGCCCCTTCCCCACAGATACAGCCTGCAGCAGGGCTCTTACGGGAGAGAGCATCGTTGCCTCCATCTGTGGCTCAGGACCAGGACACAGTAAAGGAGGCACATTTCTATTCCAGATTCCTGCAGGGCCCAGAGGGACAGTGAGGAGGTGACACAGGAAAGTGCCTTTGTACCTGCTCCCCTGAGCCCCTGCTTAGTGAGGCCCTGGCTTGCAGCTTGTGATGTGCCCTCAGAGGGGTGGCAGGGGTGACAGGATACCCCATCCTGCTGCCTGGGAAATCCCTGCACTGCTCAGCTCGTAAGGCAGGGACAGGCCCTTCCTTGGTAAGTGAGTGAGCAGGAACCCAGCAGCGAGCATGTGCCCACAGCATCCTGAATCCTTCCTGGGAAGCCAGCCTTGGAAACCACCTGAGACGTGAAAGGGCTCCTGGTGATTAGCCAACTCCCAGCAAAGCTGATTTGGGTATTTTCTCCTTCCCACCACCTGTACTTTTTTCCATTACCTGCAAAGCAACCCTTGGTACTGGTCCTGCCATGCAGGACCCCCTCTCAGAGCCCAGGGTACCTGTCCCCACAAACAGCTTTGAGCTTGGCCACGTTCTGCCATTCACAGTGGCAGCCTCTGGGTCTCAGCCACTTTGCTTCTGTTTTTAAAACAATACCAGAAGCTATCTGTAGTTACAAAAATAAAGGTGTGCATATTTTTTTCTACTGCTCTGCTGTACCGTGTCGGGTCTCAGCAGAAGTGAAAATGACAGGGGCACAGCCTGCTCCTCCCCAGGCCTGTGCACCTCTGATTCCCAGGGGGGTGTCCCATTGCATGGGAGAGGTAGCTCCCACCCTGCCTGCGTGACCCTCAGCATTTCAAGATGCTCTCCTGCCCCAGCAGCTGCCCCTCAGCCTCTCTGCCTACCTGACTACTTCTTCCCTTGCCATAATTGTGAACCCTCTGCACGTGAGCTGCTAGAAAGCAGGTGCTCCTGAATTACTGGACATACAGACTCATCCTCAGAAATTTCATACAATTGCAGTAAAATGTTTTGCAAGGAAGATACCCAGAGACAGGAACCAAGTTTAATTTACATTGGCTAAGTATAAAATCATTGTAGTGGGTTGCGGCTTTTCTGGGATGGGTTCCTCCTTTTGTCTAGTATGAGTCCCACTGGAGCAGCATCATTTTCACTGGAAATGGAAAATGCATATGACCTGCATGGCTTTCTCTTTGGCTTTAGCTGGAAATGAGCAGAGTAATTCCTGCAGAAAACCCTGCCAAGGCAATTTTACTTCGAAGCAGAACAGGGTAAGGAAAGATTTATGATGATTCAAGAATGATCCAAGGGGAGGTGGACACAATGAGGCATGTTCCTGAAACATTGGTGGAAGTTCATAAAGGATATTTACAACTCAGGGGAAGTTCCTCTGGCATGTTCTTGGACCTTTCTGCTAAAGACTTAAAGGCAAAGACAGGAAAATACATTGTGTAAGTCTTTTTATAACTCTTTTATAAACGATATACGAAGATTCACAGCCAGAGCAAAAAGCCTGCGAGCAAGGAGAACATCTGGCACAGGAGCTGGGAGGCTGCAAGCCACACTCCTGCTCAGCCCACGTGGGAGCTCATCACACCTCATCCCTCCTCTGTCCTCCGACCACCAGTGTGGGCACTGCGACATGGACATGGTGGGTGAGGGAGGTCTTGGTGCCCTGGGCACCGTGGGCTGAGGCTGGACCCTTCCCCAGGTGCTCGGGCAGGCCCAGCTTATTGCAGGTTGGCTCCCGTGGTGGCATGGGGATGCGCCTGGCTCCCATGCTGTGGGGCAAGTGCTGAGCTAAGTCCTGCCAGGGCTGTCCCCACTGTTCCCCTCCAGCCCTGGGCTGGGAGCAGGGTCTCTGGAGGTGGGAGAGCCCCGCGGTGGGGCAGGCAGGCGCACAGGGCAGGATGCGGGCTGGCAGCAAGGCTGGGGCGGGAGGGGAAGAGGCCAAGGGCAGGGAGCGATGCGTTGTGCGCTCGGAGGAAGTATGAGCACCGCTGCCTGCCAAAGGACAGACGTGTCCGCGGCGCTGACATGGTAGGTCCCACTCCTTTCCTTGGGGATGAGTCGGGGTCTACCTGGAAAAGGGGGTTAGGGGAGGGCAGGGCTGTGGGCAGGTGCTGCCAGGAACTGGTGCCTCTGCCAGGCACCCATGGGGTGGACCCGGGCTGCTCCAGAGAGACCCTGCCCCGGGCAGTGAGGCCATGTCGGGCACACAGGGCACTGCTGCCGCAGAGGCAGATGCCAGCCCTGGGTTGATGGGGAGGGGTGGGGGGCACAAGGCATGCCCTAGATTTAGGGGCTCCCCAGAAGTGAACTGCACTGCTGGCACAGCCTCTCCTCCCCCACAGCCCAGCTGTGCTGTGGGCACAGCCCCCCCAAAACACCTTGCTGGAGAGACCCTTTATGCAGCAGAACCATACCTGGCCAGCGGCACCATGTGTGCCTGCGTGCAAGCCAGTACGAAAGCAACATGCCCTTGTGGCTACCAGGACTGCCTTGCAGTGATGTGGGTGCACAGTGGGGTGTGTGAGCTCCCGTGGGACGTGCATGCTCATGCCTCCCTCTCTGGCATGCAGGGCACTGCTGCGGGACTGCGGTCTGCTGGGAGGACATGGGCTCTGGGCTCCTGTGGCATCTTCTACCTGGGCATTGCTGCCATCGCATGGGGTAAGCTGTTTGCCGCCTGCTCAGTGAGCCCAGCGTGACCCTGCTGCCGAGGTGCCTGCAGGTCTGGGAAACTGGAGAAAGCAGCAATGTTATTTTGGGGGCTCGTCAGTCACACCCCCCATGGCTACCAGCCCCAGGGCTGGATAGTTCTGGGTTGGGAGGGTGATGCATCTGCCTGTGCCAGCTCCCTCCAGCTAGACCCATAGCAGGACCATGCTCCCTAAGGAGGGCCAAGCCATGCGTGTGGTCCCCACAAAGTATCTGGTTCCCCAGATGCAGCATGGCAGCCAGTGCATTGTACTGTGAACTGGAGAAAGGCAAGCAGCATCTCTACACGCTGCCTACGGCCATGCTCGTGCTGCAGAGCTGGGCATGGACATAGCCACAGGACCCACAGGTCTGGTGCTGCTAATTGACATCAGGAGAATAACTGACATCAGTAGAAACTGATTTGGTTTTGCTGTCTGTAGGGTATTTCCTTCACGTTAGCATTGCACAGTGCAAAACCTGCCAGTGCCTGCTCTGTTCCTAGAGATCCGAGAGAGCTGGGTTATTTTCTGAAGGACCTTTCATGACTGAATTAAGGAACAGAGGCAAATGCAGAAATGTCAGGAGGAGGCTGAGATTTAGCTCTGAGGGGAAAACAAAAATGTAAAGGCACTCTGAGTGTGGTGGGTGTGGAGCACTGCCCTGGGGGAGGCACTGGCGGCTGCCAGGGGCGTCGAGGGGTCGAAAGGGGCAGGCAAACAGCATTCACCTGGGGGTTCAGCACCAGGTGGGGCAGGAGAGGTAACATAAGGCTGAGGGGAAGGAGTAGGGATGAGCTGTGCTACAGAGGGTGTTACTGGCAGAGCTGGAGGAAAGGCAGGAGAACACGTGGAAGATGGGCACATAGCAGATGGTCTTTCTTGGTTTGGGGATGTCATGTGTGAGTGTAGCAGGGCAGCTGCCCTGAGATGTGCTGCGGGGGTAGTGAGGGCCAGGAGGTGGGTGGTGGGAGCTGAAGATGAGGCAGGCTCCCAGGAAATGCCCTGAGCTTCTGTCCTGCAGCCCCAAGCTCCCAAGGGGTGAAAAGGAGGGCTGTTGCTGAAGGCCAAATTTTCCTTGGCTTCAGTTTTATTGAACAAAGTGGATAGTTTGCTCTTTCACAAGGAAAACCAGACAAATTATGGGACTTTTGCTTAGAAAAATGTGTGATTACTGACAAAACTAGAGCCCTAATTAGGCTTGGTAAAACCTAGATTTGCATCTAATCTGCAGTGCCCAGACCTTTTCCTGCCTGACCACAGTGTGATACACTCTCCTGAGACATAGAGTACCCCAGGCTGGTTGTCCGGAGCAAATTTGTTTCCCCATCTCACTTTCTGCACAGATGGAGATAGGATCCCGGTATCACTTTTCAGCTGTGGAGACACCGGCTTCTGGGGAGGAGGGAGGAAGCTTTTGTTTTGTGGCTAAAATCCTTTGATTGCATCAAGTTGCGGTGTGAACTGCTGTAAATAAGAGCAGGGTTTCAGCAAAGTGCCTTTCACTTTTGGGTGTGTGTTCCAGTTAATCTCTGGCTTTGCCCTGACTGGTAGGCATGACCAGGATGTGAACTCGACTTTTGCAAGACATTATTTTGCAATACTGAATTTTACAAGGCTCTTCAGACCATCTCTGGCTCAGATGACCAGTATGAGATCCAAATGCTTTTGGGGTTGAGGGCATGCTTGTTGCTGTGCCTTGAGCTTGCCTTGAGCTGAGTCTCATGTAGAAGTGTAAAGCAAGAAAACTGAAGTGGTACACTTCTGTGTTCCAGGAAGGATCTTTGTTTAAGAAACCATCTTTATGTCGGATTTTCCCCTTTGGGAAACATTTGCATGCAGGGCAGCGGGGCTGTGAGGTTGGGCTTTCACCCCTTGTACTGGAGGAGGGGTTAACATCACCGCTTGGAGCTCTTCTGCTAGTTGTGCTCTGCCTGCCCCATCCCATGCTGCCCTCTGTCTCAGCCTTCACCCTGTCTCCCGCACCTTTCTCACCCCTGTGCTGTCCCCCTCTGTCCCACCTCAGCTCCTTCGGCCATGCCTGATCCACTCAGGTCTCCATTAGAGCCCCATTCTTACCCTTTGTCCCTTCCCCTCACCCAGCTGGTCACTGGCATCTCTTTGCCCTGATGCCAGCCCTAGCCCACCCTCACATCTCAAGTGACCCCATCCCCAACCTGACTCCTATCTTTTCTGCATCAATCCCAGACCTCATCCTCTCTCATAGGTGCAGTGACATGGGTGGAGGTGGGTGCCTGGACATACCACTACAGTGACCGAGGGGACTACGCATGGGAACAGGCCAGGAACTACTGCCAGACCTTCTTCACTGACCTGGTGGCAATCCAAAACAAGCAGGAGATCGAGTACCTCAACAGGAGCCTGCCCTTCCACAAGCGCTACTACTGGATTGGCATCCGCAAGCTGCATGGCACCTGGACCTGGGTGGGCACCAGGAAGGCGCTGACAAAGGAGGCGGAGAACTGGGCAGCCAGGGAGCCCAACAACCGCCGCTCCAACCAGGACTGCGTGGAGATCTACATCAAGAGGCCACAGGAGTCGGGCAAGTGGAACGATGAGTCCTGCAACCAGAAGAAAAAGGCGCTGTGCTATCGGGGTGAGTGGGAGGATCGCAGCATGGACTGAGATTGGGTGGGCTGGGGACCTCAGTAGGGTGACCAGCAGCTCCTGATGACCATCCTCTGTGTGCACAGCTTCCTGCCAGCCCTTCCAGTGCAGCCAGCGTGGCGAGTGTGTGGAGACCATTGGGAGCTACCGCTGCGAGTGCTACCCCGGCTTCCATGGCCCTGAGTGCGAGAACGGTGAGCCATTCATCCCCATCCCTCCCTCCCTGCTGGAGATGTCGCCTGAGCTCCGGTGGCAGAGTGGGCAAGTTTGATGTGCTCCTTACGGGCTGGTGGTGCCATGTCTCTCCCAGTTGTGCAGTGTGCCAAGCTCGAGCCCAGGGGAGTGCACATGAACTGCAGCCATCCCTACGGAGACTTCAGCTACAACTCCACCTGTGTGTTCAGGTGCCAGGAGGGGTTTGAGCAGCGAGGAGCAGACACGCTGCGGTGCCTGCCTTCCCAGCAGTGGTCAGCAGACACCCCCACGTGCACAGGTAGGGCCTGCCAGGACCTGGGGGTCTCAGGGATGTGGCATTGATGTTTTGCAGGGGCCAGCCCTGCGTGCCCAATGCTGCTCAGACAAGCAACGGGCTAGATTTGCCATGCCCCTGCCCTTCAGGGAAGCAGCTCTTGGTGCTGCATGTGGGGAGCAGTTTCCTGGTAAGGCTGTGAAGGGCAGAGTGTCTGTGAGCTCTGAAGAAGCCCCCTGCTCTCCCCGGCTGTCACAGTACTCTTGCTCACTGTCCTGAATCCCACACAGATGCCAGCAACTTGTGTGTACTTGAGCCTGGGGGCAGGATGGTGTCTTGGCACCTCCATCACTCCAGTTGCATGGTCTCCATTGCCCCAAGCCCACACCAATCCACCTTGGGAAGGTGCTCAGCATCTCAGGGGTCCTCAGAGAAGAGTGAACGGGGGTTGCTGTCCCATGACTAAGGGAAGGATGTGTACTGGCACGGGTGGGCTTCCTTGAGCATGGTGATGACCCATAAGATCAGGTTAGATACAAGCTGGGAGGGATGGACTGAAGCAGGAAGCCGCAGAAGAGAGAAAGTTGTGGCATGTTATGCTGCAGGGGCAGGGAAAGTCTTCCTATCAGCAGCTCAAGGGTTTGCGGCCAGGCACTGGGCACTCCAGAGAGGTGCTGGGCTTTTTTGGGGGTGTGAGAGCCTTGCTTCACCTTCCCTGTGCTGCTGCATGGTGCATCTGCAGCCTTGCTAAAGGATGGGATGAACTGAGGACTGGAGCAGACATGGGACACAACTGGGGACTCTCTGTATTGGGACACCCAGCGGGAGGGGGCAGAGGGTGAGCACAGTCATTTTTAAAAAACAAAAAGCCTGTCTTGAAGTTAGTGCTCCAAATGATGCCTGTGGTCCAACTCAGGGCTTGCTTTAGGCAGCTGAGACCAGAAAAACTTTCTGCAGTTAAGGGGAACAGGCAGGAGATGGGATGTGCATGTTCCACAGCCAGCATCCCCAGTGGTGGCAGGGTCAGGAGCTGGCTCCCAATTTTGTAAACGTCCCCGCAAACAAGCTGGGCTGAGCCTGTGAGCCTGCCTGCCCTAGGCTTTTCAAGTTCTCAAAGGCTTGCTTTCCCATCTTAGCTTTGCCTGATGGCTGTACGTATAACTGATTTTTTCTTTTTTTCTGAAGAATCAGATGAGTCAGTTGCCTTTGCTGATAATGAAGCTGTGTTAGCAAGCATTGCCAGTTATGTTTACTCCAAAAACGAGCACAGGCTCCTGCTGTAGCAAGGCTGATGCTACTGTGGGCACAGTGAGGGATGAGGCTGCCTGCCCTGCCCTCACACACCGTCCTGTGTCTGCCTGCAGCTGTCCCTTACAGTCCAAAGCCACCTGGCGTTCTTCCCCTGCTGCCATGACAAGGATGGGGGCAGGTCTCTGCTCCCCTCCAGGGAGGAAGGCGAGTGGGACTGCAGCAGCCGTGGACCTTCGTCCCGGGGGCTGTGACCGGGGCTAGCACAAGGAATAAACAGGGCTCTGGCAGAGCTGCAACCACCCTCCCCAGGAAATCATTTGTATAGTTGAAAAATTATTGTACTGAATATGTTTTGAAGAGGCTAGACTTGTTTGGGTGAGAAAGGTAAACCAAAGACGTATCACCACAGATTTGGTTTTGTTTGACTGAGATTCAGCTCTAATGCCTAGATTTAATATAATCTATCCTGTTCCTGAGACTTGCTCTCCCATTGCAGCCATCAGCTGCCCAGTGCTCAGTGCTCCAGACCAAGGAGAGCTGAACTGCTCCCACCTCTATGGGGACTTCACCTTTGGATCCAAATGTGCCTTCTCCTGCCAGACAGGGTTTGCACTGACAGGGCCAGAGAGCCGCGAGTGCACGGCCACAGGGACATGGACTGGGGACTCACCACACTGTGAAGGTAATGCTGCTGCTAGAGCTCAGGGTGTCACTGGCCTTGGGGTGACCATGGCATATTCTTCAGCCACTTGGTCCCAGGAGTTTAGTCTTGCAGTCCCCAAGCTCCTGTTTGAAGTGTGCCCCTTCGCCCTGCAGCCGTTGCCTGCCCAGTGCTCAGTGTGCCTGACCAAGGAGAGCTGAACTGTTCCCATCTCCATGGAGACTTCACCTTCGGATCCAGATGTGCCTTCTCCTGCCAGACGGGGTTTGCGCTGATGGGGCCAGAGAGCCGTGAGTGCACGGCCACAGGGACATGGACTGGGGACACCGCCCGATGCAAAGGTAGAATTGCTGCTCAAGATGTCACAGGCCTTAGGTTGACCCTAGGATATTCTCCAGTGTCTTGGTCCTTTTGTTCCAACAGTTGAGTCTCATAGTCCCCAGGCTCCTGCCTGAGGTGTATTTCTATCCCTGCAGCCATCGCCTGCCTGGCACTCAGCGCTCCAGACCAAGGAGAGCTGAACTGCTCCCACCTCTATGGGGACTTCACCTTCAGATCCAAATGTGCCTTCTCCTGCCAGACTGGATTTGCACTGATGGGGCCAGAGAGCCGTGAGTGCACGGCCACAGGGACATGGACTGGGGACTCACCACATTGTGAAGGTAATGCTGCTGCTAGAGCTCAGGGTGTCACTGACCTTGGGGTGACACCAGGATTTTCCCCAGCCTTTTGGTTCCAGCACTTTAGCCTTGTAGTCCTTCAGATTCCTGCTTGAAGTTTATCTCTATCCCTGCAGCCATCAGATGCCCAGTGCTCAGCGCTCCAGACGAAGGAGAGCTGAACTGCTCCCACCTCTATGGGGACTTCACCTTCGGATCCAAATGTACCTTCTCCTGCCAGACCGGATTTGTACTGACGGGGGCCGAGAGCCGTGAGTGCACGGCCACAGGGACATGGACTGGGGACTCACCACATTGTGAAGGTAATGCTGCTGCTAGAGCTCAGGGTGTCACTGACCTTGGGGTGACACCAGGATTTTCCCCAGCCTTTTGGTTCCAGCACTTTAGCCTTGTAGTCATTCAGATTCCTGCTTGAAGTTTATCTCTATCCCTGCAGCCATCAGCTGCCCAGTGCTCAGTGCTCCAGACCAAGGAGAGCTGAACTGCTCCCACCTCCACGGGGACTTTACCTTTGGCTCCACATGTGCCTTCTCCTGCCAGACTGGGTTTGTGCTGATGGGGCCAGAGAGTCGCAAGTGCACAGCCACAGGGACATGGACTGGGGACAACCCACGATGCAAAGGTAGAGTTGCTGCTCAAGGTGTCACAGGCCTTGGGATGACCCTGTGATGTTCTTGGGTGTCTTGGTCCTCTCATCCTAACAATGTAGTCTCCTAGTCCCCAAGTTCCTCAAGTGTGCTTCTTTACTCTGCAGCCATTACCTGCCCGGTGCTCAGTGCTCCAGACCAAGGAGAGCTGAACTGCTCCCACCTCCACGGGGACTTTACCTTTGGCTCCACATGTGCCTTCTCCTGCCAGACTGGGTTTGTGCTGATGGGGCCAGAGAGTCGCAAGTGCACAGCCACAGGGACATGGACTGGGGACAACCCACGATGCAAAGGTAGAGTTGCTGCTCAAGGTGTCACAGGCCTTGGGATGACCCTGTGATGTTCTTGGGTGTCTTGGTCCTCTCATCCTAACAATGTAGTCTCCTAGTCCCCAAGTTCCTCAAGTGTGCTTCTTTACTCTGCAGCCATTACCTGCCCGGTGCTCAGTGCTCCAGACCAAGGAGAGCTGAACTGCTCCCACCTCCATGGGGACTTTACCTTTGGCTCCACATGTGCCTTCTCCTGCCAGACGGGGTTTGTGCTGATGGGGCCAGAGACCCGTGAGTGCACAGCCACCGGGAGATGGACTGGGGATGCTCCACGATGCAAAGGTAGAGTTGCTGCTCAAGGTGTCACAGGCCTTAGGTTGACCCTAGGATGTCCTCCAGTGTCTTGATTCTTTCATCTCAACAGTTCAGTCTCATAGTCCCCAGGCTCCTGCTTGAAGTGTATCTCTACCCTGCAGCCACTGCCTGCCCAATGCTCAGTGCTCCCAGCTGGGGAGAGCTGAACTGCTCCCACCTCCATGGGAACTTTGCCTTCGGCTCCACGTGTGACTTCTCCTGCCAGACAGGGTTTGTGCTGATGGGGTTGGAGAGCCATGAGTGCACAGCCATGGGGACCTGGACTGGGGACACCCCACAGTGCAAAGGTATATCTTGTGATCACACACATGTCTGAAAGTGCTCTGTTGTAGCAGACTGCTTACCCCAGCATCCCCTTCCCCTTAGTACCACCTGCCCATGGTAGCTCGTCCCCTGGCTCCCCACATGTCCCCATCCCACCACCATCATTCCTGTCCTGTTGATGCTGCTGCTGTGCTTTATCTCCAGCCATCAGCTGCCCTGTGTTGGACCCTCCCAGCAGAGGCCAGCTGAGCTGCTCTCACGTGCACGGGAACTTCACATACAACTCCACATGCACTTTTTCCTGTGAGAAGGGGTTTCTTCGGATGGGAGCGGAGATGCTTTGGTGTGAAGCCACAGGGAACTGGACCAGGCATGCCCCTGTCTGTGAAGGTACGGTGGGACCCCCTGCTCCTCTAGCACTGGGGGGGTCCAGCCCCCAGCAGCACATCTTGAATGTGGTGGGGCACCCCAGAAGCTTGGGTGCTGTGAAGTCCTGACCACTTTCTAACCTGCAGCTCTGCTGATCTGTTTCAGAGGATGGTGCCCCCTTCCTAAAGCAAGTCCTGGCTTACAGCAGTGGCACGGCCCTGGCATTAGCTGGCATCGTCCTCTCAGGGATGCTTATTGCCCTCCTTGCCAAGCGACTCAGTAACAGAGGTACAAAAACGCCTCCCACACTTTGGTTGCTTTTTGGGGTTCTTGGACCAGGAAGTTAGAGAGTCCCAGGGGAGGGTGGAATGATCAGAAGAGTTTAACAGTGTGACTGCCTCAGTCCACATGTTTCATTTGCTCCGAGTCACTTTGGTCTGGCATCACCTCCTTGGCAGTTTGTCCAGCTGGAAGTGTCAGCAGCCAGGTTTGGAGGGCAGAGCTAGAAAAACACAATTGCAAAGGGGTAGAAGGCAATTACTTCAGCTCCCTCTCCCACTCCATCTTGTGCTTGTCAAACTTGGTTCAATTTCAGACGCTGCTACTGCAGCTTCTCAAGTCCTTCACTAAACAGAACTGGTTATTTCTTTTCTATCTGCACTACCCACATCGACATTTTGACACTGGTATCAGAGGAGAAGAAGAAGCTCCTGAACCCCACCAGGTGAGAACTGTGCTCTGCAGGAGGGTGGCTCTGCCCTGTGACCATCCCAGCCCCGCAGTCACCCCGCTGTCACCCAGATCTGCCCATGAGAGGCTGCTTTTATACACAGTGGGAGCCCTTTTGGGGCTGAGGGTCTGTGCTAACCCATGCCCTTCATGTTCCTGCCCTCTCCCCCAAGGCAATACCCTTGTGTCTGTTTTCTAGTGACTTAGGATCGCCGGGCATCTTCACCAACGCAGCGTATGACGCCAACCTGTAAGGTGAGCGCTGGTGCGACACTCACAGCACCCTGTGCTCTCACAGTGTGCTGGAAACGTTCCCCGCTGCTTCTGCTGGGAGCCACGTGTGGAAAATTCACCTGGGCATCTATCTTCCCAGCTGGGGTGCTCCCACGTGGGGACACCCCTTGGGAGGGGAAGGGGGGACCCACAATTTTCTGTGCTGCACTGAAGGGGGTAATGCCAGCTCTGGCTCTCCTGTACTTCCAGCCTGGCTGTGACCAAACTCCACCACGTCCCGCAGCACTGCCGGGGCCTCGAGGGACTTCACGCCTGTGGCTGCAGCCCGGACCCATGCTGCCGCGTGGAGACCACACCCACGCTGCGTGTGCACCCCCTGCCCTGTGGCCCGCACGCGTGAAGGCATCTGAAGACCAGCCTGGGGCCGTGGGCCGCCTCTCTCGCCTGCTGCCAGCCCCCTCCCCTCACGGAGCTGCCACCCTCCCTTTGGACGTTCCCCCGCGGCTCCCCCCACCCGTGCTTCTAGCGACAGGCTCGTGTCAGCGGGGCCTGAATAAACTCCCGTGTCTAACGAGTCGCCTCCGTGTGCTGGGTGCGGGTG